AGGAAAAGGGAGAAAAGAAGATGACAGCATGACCATGCGTCACTGGGAGCCCCTTTCCCTCCCTCCCCTCGCCCTTCTCTCTTTTCTCTCTCCCCAGCATGCATGTACCCGCTGGTTTAAAATATCAGCATAGGTTTAATGATAATCATGAGGGATTAAAAGGAGTGATCAGACAATAAGGGTGAGGGCCAGCAGGTGGCATGGCGGTCGGAGTGGCTGGATCCCACATAGCCAACTGCGTGGATTGGAGTACCAAACCCAGCAGCTTGAAAATCACGCCTGGTTCATGCAATGCCTAAAATCCCGAGAAAAGAAAGGAGAAGGGACTGTGGTGTGGCCATCCCCCCGGAGGGTAATTTCTCAGTTTCTCTCTCATTCTGTCTCTCTCTGGCAAGAGCACACACTCTATAGCAAAAAATGGGAGGGGGGCGGGGGGGGGGGGGGGAGACACAGATGGCAAGGCTTTGAATGCCCACAAAACCTGGAGGCCAGGTCTCGGGACAAAAGAGGGCAGTTCAAGGGCCACACGCAAATCAGAATCTAGGGGAAAGGGACCCAGCTCCACTCACAACCAACCAGGTAAATTCTAGAAGTCAACTGATCTGAGGGAATCAGTCCAATCAGTCCTGCCTAGGGACTCTGCCTGCTCCGACCAGCCTCCACTCGAACAGCCCGGCATGGCCAGTCCTGCACTGGTCCCCATGCTGGGCTCATCTGTTCTTTTTCTCCTGCACTCTCTGCCCAGGTCCAGACTCTGAACTTCCCATGGGCACATTCTGCATGTTCTTTCTCTGTTTCTCCTCCCCAGCATCTAAAGTAAATCTCCGAACGCCACAGAAGCCTAATTAAATCTAACTGGGAAAATGTAAATGTGTTTTAAAAGCAAAAACTACTGTAAGGCCAGCCCCATAGCACCATGGTTAAACACTGTGCACCAGGAGCTGGGTCCCATGTGACCAACCAAGGTTCGAATACCAGCCCTGGTGGCTGGAAAAACACACTGGACACATGTACATACGTGTCCCAAATGGCAAGGGAATAGAGGAAAAAGGATTGTGGCATGACCGTACCACACTGGGAATGTTTGTTCTCTCTCTCTCTCTCTCTCTCTCTCTTTCTTTCCCTCCCTCCCTCCCTCTCTCCCTCTCTCTCGGTCTCTCTCCCTCTCTCTCTCTCTCTCTCTCTCTCTCTGTCTCTTTCTTTGTCCCTCCCTCCTCCTCTACCCCTGGCAATTAAAAAAAAAACTGCTTTTTTAAAAATTACTACAAACTGGGACCAGCAGTTAAGAGTAATGGCTATGTCGCTGGACTCCCACGTAGTCAACCACGGTTCACGTCCTGGACCCGGTGGCTTAAAACTCACACCATGTGCGTGTGTGTCCAAGATCCTGAGAGGAGAATGGAGAAGGGATTGCGGCGTGGCCATCTCCCCTGGGGAGTGATTTCTCGCTTTCTATCTCTTGTCTCTGTCTGGCGAGCACACGCGCCCTATAACAAAAACCTCTCAAAAAAAAAAAAATGACTACAAACACAATGTTCTAAATATAATTATGATCCTAAGAGGCTCATTATAATTTTTAACATAAAAAGCTTCCTTCGCAATAACAGTCACCTTCCTGCTCCAACCATCTTGGCTACTGGGGAAAAGGGCATTCTCCGTTTGCAAGGATTTCTCCAGAAATCTATCCCATGGCTTCCCGCAGTCTCCCACGTGAGAATCTAAACAAAGCGTACTCAAGTCATAGAACGCACTGGCACTCATACTGGCTGGAGGTTTCCCAGAGCACTTGCTGTGCACCGAGCACGGAGCTAGCTAGAAGTTGTGCCTTGTCTCATTTAGTCCATGCGGTACCACGACAACCTGATGCCCATGGTGTCCCTGTTACTGCCCCTTTAATAATGGGGACACTGAAGCTCAGCGGGGTTACCTGCCCACGGTGATGCAGGAGGGCAGCATGAACATCAGTATCGGGCTGGTGAGGTCCGTCTCTCTTGTTTTGTTGTTTTGTTTTGTTTTGTTCTGTTTCTGTTTCGTTTTGTTTTGTTTCTGTTTTTGCCATAGGGTGCATGCTCTCACATGCTGTCACAGATAGACAGGCAGTGAGGGAAAGTGAGAAATCACCCCCTGGGGAGATGGCCACACCATAATCCCTTCTCCTCCCGTCTCCTCCCAGGATTTTGGGCACATCTGCACACGTGTCTGGTGTGTTTTTCAGGCTGCCGGATCCAGGACTTGGAACCACGCTGTCAACCAAGTGGGATCTGGCACCTGAACCTCCACGCCACCTGCTGGCTGGTTCCAGGGCCGATCTCTTAGTCACTTATCAATGTTGGGGACAGCAGGGGGCATGGTGGTTAAGGTGCCAGACTCCCACCATGGCTGACCATGGCTTAAGTCCCGGACCTGGCTTCTTGCTTTCACGCTTTCTCCCCTCTCTGGTGTGCGCACGTACTCTACAGCAAATTAAAAATTAACAACAATAATAATACATAATTCTCAAAGGAAAAAAATTTACGTCTCTTAATCTAACAAACAGGCAGCAGCATTTCCTAAAGCTGACTCTTTGATGTGACTCTATCTGACCCTGGACGGTTTCAGCTGTACTGCAAACACCACGTTGCATGACTCTCCCTCCTCAGCTCTCCACCCACCTGGCCATCTCAGCCCTTAGTCCTCGGCTCCCTTGTCTTCGCCCACTGCACTTCTGACCCTCACGTCGCCCATCACTTTCATCCTTTGCTGCTTACAGGGCTTGCCCTACATGAGTGTCAACCACTGTCTCTAAGAGCAAGCACCATATGATTTTCTTTATTTTTTTTAAGAGAAATTTTTGCTAAAGGGCACGTACGCTCGCCAGAGAGAGAGAAAGCAAGAAATCACACACACACACACACACACACACACACACACACCGGGGGGATGGCCACGCTGCAATCCCTTCTCCATTTTCTACTTGGACTCTTGGGCACGCACGCACATGCACCCAGCATGACTTTTAAGCCACTGAGTTCAGGACTCGAACCACGGTGGACTGTATGTGAGTCCAGTGACGTAACCATTATGCCATCTGTTGGTCCCAGTATCCTGTGGTTTTCCATCCCACAATCTACAGCAACCTCTCACGGACAATCTGCTTTTGTAACCCGCCGTGCCCTCGTAGCATCTCCACTTTTGATGCACCGAGGTATTTTACTAAATCTCCAAGTGACTCCTTCAAAACCTTCCCGCCCAAACCCGACTCCCCCTCCCACGCCCCACATTCCATGCAGACTACCCCGCTCCCAGGCAGAGTTGCGGTTTTCCCCAGCCCTCATTTCCCGTCAGCCACCTACTCTGCCTTTTTCCTTTAAACTTTCAAAACCTGCGCTTTCCTTTCTTCTCCAGTGCTAACCAAGCTACCCGGGGAATCACGTGAGCCTTTGAGTAACCTGGGGCTGGGCAACAGGTTTTGTTCATCTCGGGCCTTCCAGGACTGACGAGAGATACTCCGAGGTGACAGGAGGTCAGGCGTCAGTGCCCAGTGGCTCCCTTCCGGACTCTTCCCTCATCCATCCTTTCCACTCCCTCATGCTTACTGCCAGGAGGCACATTCCCCTACAAGAGGATTCAGTTATCCCCTCCCTGAAGATCCACCCACGACTCTCCGCTGTCCTCAGGCAGAAGATAATCACCTCCATCTCCAGATGGGCCTGAAGTCTCCTGTCCTGCAGGAAGCCACCTACTGGCCCTGAAATCCCTTCCCAAACTGTGTTCCTGCTCCGGGGCTTATCGAAGCCATGCGCCATCATCCAGCCTCCATCTCTAATCCCGGCACCCCACGAAGACTTCACTGCTCTGCTCTACTCTCACGCTGACCTAACTCCCAGCTCTCAGCACCTGTGGGTGCCACTCGTCATTGGCACATTGTGCTCCAGGCGGTCATTCGAAATGTCACATGTGCACATGGTCAGAAGGTGCAGCATGTCCTACCTCGTTTTTTTGGTTAATTTGACTTTGTTTTGTTTTAGATTTTTGCCATAAGGCACATGAGCTAACTGAAGAGAGAGAGAGAGAGAGAGAGAAGGAAAACTAGAGACCGTACCTCGGGAGATGGCCAGGCCATGACCCCTTCTCCTCTGGCCACCTGTCAGGGTGCACATGCACCCAACATGTCTCTCAAGCTGCTACGTCTGGGATTTGAACAGTGGAGTCAGCTATGTGGGATCCAGCACTTTAACCTCCATGCCATCTGCTGGACCCTTGTTTTTTTGTTTTTGTTTTTTAATAGAGAGAGCAAACGGGAGACAGTGAGATGGGTACTTTGACAGGGCCTCATCACGATCCTCTTGCATCAGCCTCCCACTCAGCTGGGACCACAGACACATGGCACCAAGACCAGCCTGTTCAGGGTGGTCCAGGAACCGAACCTGGGCTCGCACGCAGCCGCAGCCATCACATAGCAGCACCCTCCGGCTCATGCCACCACAGTCGGCCCCGACCCTGCTTCTCAGTTCCTAACTGCCTGGCTGTCGCGTTTACTTGAAGCCAACCCCACAGCAGAGCTGAAGGGCTAGGCGCTCCCTGCACTGTCAGACTTCCAGAGCGTCTCCGTGTGCCCTCGCCTGACAACCGTTTCCATTCCAAATGAGCTCCATCCTTTGGCTAAAAGCTACTGACATGTTCCCTCATGTCATACAAACACCTCTGGAAAGATAACCAACTGAGCTACAGTGTTTATCTGCAGGTATTTGCAAGTTACCAGCACCAAGGGCTTTCCGTTCTGGGTGGAGGAACCATGAGAACAATGAGGAGAAAGGGCAGGGAAGGCCACAGAGGAGGTCTGAGGGTGGGAGCGAAGGGAAGAGTCGTCACAGCCCTCCTGGGCCAGTCTCTGCCTGGAGGAAGGTCCTGGAAAAGCAGGACCAGCTCCGTCTGCTGAGTTGGAGGCAAAACGCCTAACTGCACAGATGGATGCCTTTCTGAGCCCAGGATATGGTTAGACACTGTCCTGCCCTGGGGAGCCGCCAGGTGGGTGGACCTGCCAGGTGACCAGCGATGTACTTCAGCCCAGGGACCCTGAAGAAGGAAGCGGGGTTGCTAGCTTGTATGAAAATCGACCCCAAAACTCCGAGGACCCCACAGCCACTTCATCCCCATCAGGAAAGTCTGAAGCTGGTGCCGTTACACCTTCTCTCTCCTCCGATGGACTCATATTCCACGCTGTCTTCTCATGCAGGCCAGCTGCCAGCATGCACTGTGGCCGTTCCCAGGGCCCCGGACAGCGCCCCAGCCTCTCCCACCGGCGAGCACCTGGGCAGAGCACCCTACTGTTGATGGCAAGGACCCACCTCGTGGGACCGTCCTCAGGAAGTACTGGGCTGGCGGGGCCACCTGCCTTCCAAGGTACAAAGGCGGAAGGTACAAAAGCCATCAGCAGCTAGGAGTCGTCATTTCATCCTGCCATCTGGGACAGGTGACAGCCTTCTCTGGGGCATCAGAAACTCTGCAGGGCATGCTCCCTCCCCAACTCACTTGGCAGCTCCAAGCCTGTGACGGCCATGAGGTTCCCCCAGGAAACAGCCCTTGTTCTCTTTGTTCTCTGCCCACACCAACTCCCCAGCGCGTCCCGCTCCCCACAAGGAAGCCATGACGGTGGCCATCCAGGGCTGCAAAGGCAGCACACTCCCACCTCACCTCCTTCACTGCGGTCCTCTTGGGCGTCTCCTCCCCCCTTGACCATCGCCACGGCCCCAGCTCTGCCCCTCCTCCAGACCTGATGTCCTCAAAGCCCTGCACAAACCCTCTTCCTGCAAGTCCCAAACCTCATCTTTCCTGCCTCCGTTCTTCAGACTTGCATTCTCAGCAGCTGCTCACCACCACCCTGAGGAGCAGGAAGGACGGAGCCCTGCAAGTAGCTATGCCCTACAGGAGAAGACGCTGGCTGCGCCCCAGGAGAGAAAGGCGGGGGGGGGGGGGGCAGGCAGAGCTGAACCGGGGGTTCTGCGGGGACGGAGGCTAGTGTGGGAGTTTCGAGGCCACGACTTCAGCCAGAGTGAGCTCTGAGTCAATGTGTAAAATACAATGACAATAACCAGCGGATGGTGTGATGGCTATGTTGCTGGACTCCCATATCGTCTAACACGGTTTGGGTCCCAGATCTGGTGTCCTAAAACTCACGCTGGGCACATGTGCATGCACGCTCAAGATTCTGAGAGCAGAATGGAGGAGAAGGGACTGCAGCATGGCTATCCCCCTTAGGAGGTGATTTCTCGCTTTCTGTCTCTCTGTCTCTCCAGCAAACGTGAGCGCCCTATAGTAAAAATCGCTCTAAAAATAAAAAAATAAGCAGATAAGAACAACTCTTTGAGAAGAGCGGCCCAAGTGTCACTTGACTTGCAAAAGGCAGGGGCATAAGGTCTAACCATGAGAGGGGCCGTACAGCCAAGAGTGGACGCTGAGCAGGGCTCCTCATCGCCCATGAGCCAGGAGCACGGTAGGCAGGCAGTAGGACCCACCCTGCCCTGGGGGTGCAAAAAACCAGGCCACGCTGGCCGCTGTGGGGGTATGCACAAGGCCAGCACAGTCTAGAGCCAATTCCCTCCAGCACCTTCTTGCTTTTCATCTCGGTGGGAGAATCTGCCCTGTCACCCAGAGTCAGGTAACAGAGAGTTTCTGATCTCCACTCTGCTGACATCGTTGGGCATGGCTAATATTTAACCAGCAGGGACTATTCTAGTTTCTGGTTAAGAAGAACTGCTCTGGACTAGTTGGTGATCAGCCACCACCCTGAGGCCCTTGAGTAGCTCCACCTATCCCGGTGGCCTGGCCCTTTCTCCAGGACCTCCCCCGAATCCAGCAACTGAATGGGCAATGCCTGGCCCAGCTCCCCAGCTCCGCCAGACAGGGTCTGCTCTGGTTAGTCAGTGCCAAGACACGCCCGTTGCCAGTCCTTCATCTGCAGCCCTGGCCGACAGACCACAGGTGACCCTGAGCCAACACAAAGGCCCTGGGAGGAGGACCTGCAGACCTTGCCGCTCCTTTCTGGGGGAGCAGTACGCTGCTACTAAGGAGTTTTCTATTAAGGGTCTCCCTAGAAGTCACTGATCCTAAATGAGCTAGGCAACACAAGAGTGGGGGAGAAAGCAACCCAGCACAGCTCTGGACTTGACTGATGTGCGTGGTAATCGTGCTGGAAAAAGAAATGTTATATACTGCAAAGACATTCGTGATTAAATGAAATATAAAAAATAATAATAACAACAAATAATCATAATAACAAATACAGCTCTGGAGCTAAGAGCTGCCAAACAGGTTGGCAGGAAGGCCCTGCAGGCTGCCCGGTTCCGGCCCTCCTCATGCCACCTCCCCAGAGACCAGGTCACAGCTTCCTCCAAGTCAAACTGCCAAACTGAAGAAGAGCCCCAGGCCAGCTGGCTGGAAAAATAGCACAGGAGGCTCGGCAGTGTCTGCGGCCTTGAATGCTCCTTCTCTGTACAGATACAGGTTCGGAGAGGAGGAGAGGAGTACAGAGCTTACACCCGCACACGTGTGCGCACACACGCATGCACACGCGCACTGCCAAAGGTGATGAAGCAAAGCGTCCTGCCGCAGCTCCTAGCAGACGAGGCTTAGGCTGCATTGCAAGGCCCAGCGTCCTCGGCAAATATTTTGCCACCTGTGAGTCAGGCCATTCATTGGTTGGCAGCTCCTCTGTGGTTTAACCTGCCATTGTTTGCCGAGAAATCCTGCCTGACCAGTACTTGGCCCGCCTGACAGTGCAGAGCCCCACCCTGAGAGCTGCCCTCCCGTGGACCCCCGGTTAGCTAAAGGCTGTCACTGGCTACCCACCGTGCAACAGGAGTGGCAAAGAGCTCCATGTCCGTGTCCTGGCCCCTGTCAGGACCTCCAGACAGAGCAGGGGGCAGGCGGGAGCCTCCTTACCCGCTTGTTGTCTGCAGGACTGTGGTAGAACTGTGCAATCACAACCTCGCTGTTATTTCCCACACCGAAGTTCAACTTCTCGGAAATCTTCTGGAAGGACTTGCCATAGTCGTAAGAGACGTACACCTGGAACACAGAGAAGGCGGACAAGCGGGTGAGACGTTGGGCAGGAAGAGCACTCTCTGACCTCTGCTCTCAGCGTCCAGCCCTGGAGCCTGGACATGGTTCCCAGCAGGTGCCTGATTGTCACAAGTGACAGCCGTTGCCAGAAGCATGGCACCTCAGTGTCTGTCCCGACATGTGCCAAGGGAAGAAGGCACGGGACCACTGCAGACCCTGCTGCCTGGACCATGCCAGCCACCTTTCCGAGGCCAAGGCAAATCTCTGAAGCAGGAGACAAATGAGGGAAATAATGATAACCTCCTCCCCACGGCTGGGTTAAATGTTTAACAAATTACGTCCAAAGTCAGAGAGGAAGTGGTTGCCCAGGGAGAAAAGGATTGAAAATTTGTTTTGCCATCTGTTGAACTGTCCCCAAAAGGTAATCTAATTCCTCATCCCTCCACTGGGAAGTTCAGTTCTTACTGCATTCCACATCCTAAAAAAGAAAACCTTCTCAGCTCTCTCCAGGAGCCCAAGAGATGATAAATCAAGAGTTCTAGTGCCGGGGTGTGCACAGAGGCTGGAAGTTCAGCACCTGAGTCCCCTCTACAGCACTAGGGGTTTAGGAGCCTGGGGTGCGGGAGACAGGAGCAGCAGGACCCAGACCTGGGCCAACCTCATGGATTTCTCTCTTGCTCCCTGGTCTCTGGCTATGCAGTCGCCACGGTGATAAAACATACACCCTGCCACACATCCAGTGCTGACTTCATGCCGAGCAGGACCACCTCTTTGAGAAAGAGCTCGGGTAATTCTCACAACACCCTGCTCGGCGCACGGACTGCAAGGGCTCAGGAGAGCGTCGCTTGTCAAAGTGGCAGAGTGAGCTCGTGGCCCGGCTGCTGCCTCCAAGCCAGCACCCCTCAGGGAACGGCTAGAAGGTCGGGTATTCTGCACCTACACGTTACTACCCGTCAAATACGAAATACAATTAACACATCAGTGGGTTCAAAACAAGCCTGATGGGGCCGGCAGGCGGTGTGCTCGTGAAGGCGCTGGACTCCCACGTGGCCAACCACACTCGAGTTCCAGATTCGGTGGCTTGAAAATCATGCCAGGCACATGTACAAGTGTGACCAAAATCCCAAAAGAGAATGGAGAAGGGACTGTAGCATGAACATCCTCCCTGGGGGGGGGGGTGACCTTTCACTTTCCCTCTCTCTGTTTCTCTCTCGCCAGCGCACGCATCCTACAGCAAAAACCTCCCCCCCCAAAAAAAAGCCTGAAACATGAGTGTAACAAAAAGAATAATAACAGTAGTAACGTACTTATTTTTCACATGATTGCTGGGAAGGAGAATCGAGCTAAGCATTAAAGGAAAACGGCAAGGCAATCCCTAGAAGAACGAGAACAAGACTAACCTCAGAACGTACGTCACCACCCATGCCCACTCAACTGCACACCAACCATCTCTGAGGGCTCATGGGAGCCTGGGGCCATGCTGGGCCCAGGTAGGCGAAGACTGTGTGGCCTCGGCCCAGCTGTGGCGGCGCCGTGGCAGCACGAGGCTCTGAAATGCTGGAGGTCACGGAAAGCCTGGGGTTGAGTGCCCAGGTCAGTCTACACATGCCTGCATGTATGCATGGCCCATGATTCAGCCAGCTGGGAAGGCTGCAGGGAGGATCCTGGCATGAGACCTTGTTGAGGGTGCCTGTCTCTCTCTCTCTCTCTCTCTCTCTCTCTCTCTCTCTCAATAAATAAATAAATAAATGAACTAAAAAAAGAAAAAGACAAGGTCTTTAGACACACTGCGCATATAAACAGGTAAATGTCTGTCAACGATGCACTACGTAACAGTGAACGGGGAGATGCGGGCACAGGGGCTGCGAGCACACACACACATGTACACACACGTGGCAGGGGTTGCGAGCACACACGCGCGTGAACACACATGTGGGTCATTAATATTTATGAGCTGCCAAGGTTAGAAAAAGCCAAGATCGAGCCTCTGCCTGTATCTGGGTCACAGTGGAAGAAAACCACAAGGAACACACTGCATGCTGCCGACTGCCAGACACAGGGACGGCTACCAAAGCTGCTTCAGGGACCCAGCAGGTCACAGCTCACAGATCACCCAAGTGGGTCAAAAGACCAAGGGGAACTCCCTCACATCCATTGGTTTTCTTTTTCTTTTTTCTTTTAAGAGACTTTTTGATATAGGGTGCATGTGTCCACAGGAGAGACAGAGACAGAGACAGAAAGCAAGAAATCACCCCCCAGCAGGGGTGGCCACACTGCAATCTCTTCTTCTCCGTTCTCCTCTCAGGATTTTTGGCACACATGCCCAGCATGAGTTTTAAGCTGCCAGGTCTAGGAGTCAAAGCATAGCTGACTACATGGGAGTCCAGCGACGTAACCATTATGCCACCTGCAGGTCACCCCCTCACGTCTGTTCTCCTGGCGGACATGAGAATCCCGGTTCGGTCCAAAGGTCACATGTGGGTGACTAACAGCATCTCAGAAGGGGAACTGAGGCCCCTCCTGCTCCACGATCCCTGTCTGACAATCCACTCTGTTTCATTTTTTCAGGCACAGAGGACAGTGCATCTACATGAGAGGGCACTGTTCAGTGTATGTACTCCTCAAACACCGTGCGAGTTGGGGCCAGTAGGTGGCGTGGTGGTTAAGGTGCTGGACTCCCACGTGGTTGACCATGCTTTGAGTCCCAGATCTGGCAGCTTGCTTTCTCACTCTCCTCCCTCTTTCTCTCTGGTCAAATTGAATCATAGGAATAAATTGTCAGCCGCGGCCCAGGTCTGGCTGGCTGGTGGGTATAGACACATCGGGCAGAGAGGGAGGCCCAGGAGCCCAGAATAGGCAGCGGAGTGCCGCGGCCGCATGTGCTGGGAGGCCGCCCCACCTGCACGTGCTCTGCCCATCCCCCAGGCTGGGCCGGTGAGGGACCAGGAAGGCATTTTTGACCATCTGTGGAAACTTCTCGGTAACTCATTGTTCCTCACACCAGTATTAAGAATGATACCAAACTGAGGGACCAGCAGTTGACGTAATGGCTATGTTGCTGGACTCCCATGTAGTCGACCGCGGTTCGCGTCCTGGACCCAGTGGGTCAAAACTCACGCCGGGCGCATGTGCGTGTGTGTCCAAGATCCCGAGAGAACAGAGGAGAAGGGATTGCAGCGTGGCCATCCCCCATGGGGGGTGATTTCTCGCTTTCTGTCTCTGTCTCTGTCTGTCTGGCGAGCGCACACGCCCTATAGCAAAAACCTCTCCAAAAATATAAAATAAAATTAAAAAGAATGATACCAAACTGAAAAGATATGAATGAGTACCACGCTCCTCGTTATCCAGGAGTAGGAAGGGTGTCATTTCAGACCCCGTGAGGCTGGCTCTGCTGTCTGGCACAGTACGGAACGGACCTGTGTGGCCATCTCCACCTCACACCTCACGTGCTGATTCCTCGGACGAGCAGAGCCGCAGCTGAGCGCAATGGGGTTCTTTCCGGCTGTTACGGTGCCTGTCCTCTGAGACAGCCAGACATGAAGGTTTTTTTGTTTTTTGGGGGGTTTATTTTGGAGAGATTTTTGATATAGAGCGCGTACGCTCACCAGATAGAGACAGAGAGACAGAAAGCAAGAAATCAGCCCCCCCTCCCATGGGGGATGGCCACACTGCAATCCCTTCTCCTCCATTCTTCTCTCAGGATCTTGGACATGAACGCACACGCGCCCGGCATGAGTTTTAAGCCACCAGGTCCGGGACACGAACCGCGGTCGACTACATGGGAGTCCAGCAACATAGCCATTACACTAACTGCTGGTCCCCTCAGACGTGAAGTATTTTGACAACAAAGATGATGAGTCGGATCCTGAAGCATCAAGTGACTTGCCGAAATGTTCGGACAGAGTCAAGGCCAGAGGCAGAGATGAAGGCGACCAGGTTCCCAGTCCTGTCCCAGTCCTGGACACCAGCTCTCCCACAGGAAGGTCTGCAGACACTGACGTCTGTGCCACTCACCTGCGTCGGGCAACCAACGAACCCAGGAGGAGAGTCCTACAGACACGCACACGGCTGAAGGTGTCCCAACTGCCGTGGGCACGCATGCGATTTCTGAGGGCTATGGCACAGAGACAGGAACGGTTCCTCTGAGAGTCTCCAGGACCGAACTGCAGAGGAGCCACCAACTAGGGTTTGTAAAATCCTCAACAAGAGCCAAGCTCTGACTGTGACTGCCCCACGGAAACGGCCTTTACTGAGAGCCAACGGCAGTGGCCTCTATCAGTGGGAACGTGGTGAGTTCAACAGCAAATATTTCTCTGATGTGAAGCAGCATGTAGGTCGGAAGCATAAACGGCCTGACTCAAATGTATGCCGAGTACGTAAGGAAAGCTTCTCTACCAACCTGCGGCTGATGGGACACGCCAAGCTACCCGGGGAGGACCCATACGTTTACACACACTGTCATAATGAGACAGTAACTTCTGAGAACCTCGGCCAGCATATGGCAGACACCCGCTTTAGCCATCACCTCTCCTGGTGTGAGCAGTGGGACGTACGGTTCTCCTCAAGCAGAGAGCTCTACCTGCATTTTCAGGAGCAGGCGGCGACGAAGAGAACTTGAGTCTGTTCTGTGAACAGGAAACCAACCATCCGGAAGACCTGCATAGCCATGTGGTCAATGAGCATACGTGTAAATTAACAGAGTTACGTGATAACAATGGAGAACAAGGACAGCCCAGCCTCTCAAGCAAAACTACCTTTGACTGAGACCAGCAGTTAGCATAATGGCTATGTCGCTGAACTCCCACGGAGCTGACTGTGGTTCGAGTCCCAGACCCACTGGCTAAAACTCACGCCAGGTGCGTGTGTGTGCATGCCCAAGATCCCGAGAGGAGAATGGAGAGGAAGGGATTGTGGCATGGCCATCCCCCCTGGGGGGTGATTTCTCGCTTTCTGTCTCTCCATCTCTCTCTGTCCTTCTGGCTAGCGCACGCGCCCAATAGCAAAAA